TTTTCGGGGGGGGGGGGGGGGGGTCCGCTTTTCATCCGTAAACGGACAGATGGAAAACGGACATACAGAACGCCCATGTGCAAGGGGCCTTATTCCAACACTTGTTTCTCCACTAGATCAGACGGGCAAATATTTAATTCACAGCGAACATCTAACCAAGTTGCTAGTTCAGGGGTAGAAGAAGATTTTTATATAGCGTTGAGAGGGTGATGAAAGTATGATCCAAGTCCAGTATACAAATTTTCTTACAATGAGATGACATTTAAATAAGTTTGTCATGTCAGGGTTTCTCTTGTATAAAATGATCAATAATATGATATACTGATGAGATACTTCAGGTAAACTCAGTATCACAGGTGTTACGAGTCAAAGAGAAAGGTCCTTGGAGTGTTGATTTTCAAAGACATTTTGAAAGGCAATTGCATCAAGGATACTCCAAAGGTGAGGATCAATTGTAGATGGAATACTCTAACAAAGCCTGAATAAGAGAACCCCACTTTAAACTTAAACTACTTTTCTCTGTTTGCAAGGCATTTACAGATGCAACAACAATCAGTTTTATAACTGGGAAAGACAAAATCTATTTATCGAACACCAAAAAAATTACACTCATTGCCTATACAGCTGTCCTTGCATTGTCTAACATTGAGAAATGCCAACAAACTGCAAGAAATGCAACCATAATTATGAACAAGGGAATGTTTCTGGAACCTTTCTACAAGTGACCTAAAAACAAAAGAGGTCAAATGAAAGTGAACTAAATATTTTTCACTATTTTATAAAACAAAGTAGTTTATACTTTTGAGGCACATTCTTGGAAAATAATAACTATAAGCCCGGGTTCACACTTGTGCGGTGCAACATACCGCATGTGATTTGTACAGGAACCGCACCACATTCCTGTGCAAATCACATGCAAATTCTGTGCGGTGCGATTCGAGCCATACATTTTGTATGGCTCGAATCACACCACATTCGCACCAAAAAGATGCAGGACCCTTTTTTTAGTCCGCACTAGAATCAGATCACATGGTTGTTCACAGCCATGAGATCCGATTCTGCATATCACACCGTGGTCTGGGAACTGATTTTGGGGTGTCATTAACTTAAAATACACACCCACAATGGTTCGTGTGAACGGGGTGCGATTATGACGCGGCGATTATGATTATGGTGCGAATCGCACAGAAACCGGTGCAAATTTCGCACCACATCAGTGTGAACCCAGGGTAAGGCTCCATTTACACTTAGACATTACAAATCACTGGTGGAATCGCCGCGATTTTGCATGCAATTTGAAAACACGCATTCAGGTGCCATTCATTTCAATGGCACCTGAAAACACAGGGCATTTTTGCCGTGATCGTAACACGTTTTTCCACGTGACAACTGCGCCACGATCATGAAAACAAAATCACGGGATGTGCAATGCCCAAAAATGGTTCCAGAACCTTTTTTGGGCATCACACTTGAATGGATACTCAGGCTTCATGCACGCTGGGGCTCTTCTAAACACTTTTCCCCTATCAGAAGAGCAGCTGCAAAAACTCTCCTAAGCTGTGTTTTTTTCAAATGCGTTTAGGCTCATCAAGCACTTGGGGGTTTATTAATTTCTTTGGCAAGAACGTTAATTTATTCTGGCGACTGAAATGAAAAAAACACTCAAGCTCCAAAAGAGCCTAGCGTTAACTAACGGTTAGATGTGTTTACCTGGTTTTAGGTATTTTTTTCCGTCAAAACACTCCTCTCTTGAGAGCACAAGAGATGTGTTTTTTTCTGTCTCTAAACCCCCCTGCCTCTAAATGCCTATAGTGTGCATGGATACATAGGTTAACATGAAGGGGAGTTTAGAGGCAGAGAAAAAAAATAAAAAGCTCAAACGTCTGTAAAAACAGTGTTTTTGAGCTCAAGTGTGCATGAGGACTTGAGCGTTTATACGCTTTGCTATTTATTTATGCATATATAGGACATTCTCCTATCTAAAGGACTCAACAAAGACAAGAAATATAGTACAGTGAAGATGTATTATCATAATAATCAAAATATAAGTGTGTTTTCATAATCTATATGATTCAGAAGTGAAAATGTAGATGTGACAATATTCAGATATCCTTAAAGAATTGATAATTACTACCTAAATATTGATCTCTGGACAAATCACACAACTTTAACCACTTCTCTCGCTAAGCCGGACTGGTGTTCTCCAGTTCCGTAAGGACATCCAGGGACTTCCTGATACTGTGCGATCTGTGACACAGCAGATCACAGTGCTTGGTACCAATCCGCTGTGATTGGCCCAGGTACCATGTGAATGTGGTGACCAATCACAGCTATGACATAACATGTAAACACAGCTGTCATGAATGGCTTTATTCATGACAGCTTGCTTACTAAGGTGATCTCTGTGATCGGTCAGTGATCACATAATACAGGGCCAAGTACACTGGCACTGTACCATGTGATAACTGTGGCCAATCATAGTAAACAAGAGTCATAGATGAAAGCCATTCATGACAAATAAAACAAAAATCCAGATCACCTTCCCAGAGTAGTAGTGTCACGATGGTGACAGAATTTTAAAAAAAAAATTTTTTGTTTTGTTCTTTTTTTTTACACAAATTGTCACCATTCAATGTTCCTAATCACCAGCACCCACTCACAGGGTCCCTGTTCACCGCCACACACCAGTCGCAGTGTCTCTAATCACCCCCACACCAGTTGCAGTGTCCCTAATCACCCACACACCAGTTGCAGTGTCCCTAATCACCCCCACACCAGTCACAGTGTTCCTAATCAACACCGCATCAATCACAGTGTCCCCGATCAACACCACAGCAGTTATTGTGTCACCATAAGGACTTGTACACATGTGCAATGCTCTCTAAAGAGTCATCCGTGTTTAAATCAGTCTTTAGGGAGCATTTGACAGAGATTGAGGAGACATTGTATTGCCTCCTCACTACCAGCTTCAACTCCTTGGACCCTGCACAAGCAACCCCATTCAGTTGAATTGGTCACGATCAATGGGCGTACAGGGGGTATAATTCCTTCCACACCTGCAAAGTAAAGCATCACAGCCATGGCAGGTGTACACCCCCAGCCGCTGCCTATGAAACTAAAAGGGGTAGCAGTTGAGGGATGGTAAAACTGTGACTCAACGTTTTACTGCCCCCAACCTCACGTGTTAATGAACCCTAATAGCCACAGTTCTCCAATCATCACCACACCAGCCACAGTGTTGGCAGACCAGTGAAGCTAGAATCAGTGTTCCTGATTTGCCTGTTAATGGACCGTGTTTCTGCCTGTCACCTGGACTAATCCTTTGCCTATTTGCTGACCATGTCTTTGCTTGCACCTGAACTGACCCATCTGCATGTCCAACTTACTGTGTTACTGTAGGACACCAGTCCCAGCCATTTGTGTGATGCACAAGATACAAAGTCTGGTACATAATCAGTCCAGGCACTAAAAAAGTCACTATACTCAGGAGTAGCAAAATGTGTTTTGGGGTGTAATTCTAAGTATGTCAATGCTATGTGAGAAATATCTATGTGAGAAATATCTGGCAACATATTCTGCATTTTCCAAAAACTTACAATGTCTCTTAGAAAATACCTTGGGATGTTTGCTTTCTACTGTCTTGGTGCACCAAAAATGTTATAGGTAGTCAAGAAATTAGATGATTAATTTATGTCACTGGAAAGCATGAAAGTGCTCCTTGGATTTTGGACCTGTGTGGCTAGGCTATGAAAAAGTCTCACAAGTGGTATCCCCATACTTGGGAGAAAGCAGAATATCTTTTAGGGGATATTTCTAAGTATGCCTGAGATGTTTGTTAGAAATCTCTTAATAACAACTTCTTGTAAAAAAAATTAAAATAAAAAAATTCATATTCTGTCCTGCATTTTCCAAGAATTTGTGGCAAAAAAATATCATTTTCAAAACATTCATCATGCCTCTTAGAAAATACCTTGAAGTGTTTGCTTTCCAATATGGGGTCATTTTGTAGTTACATCCACTGATGCCCCAGGGCCTCCAAAAATGTGATATGTAGTGAGAAAATCAGTTGCGCAATTTTATGTGTAATTTATTAGTCTTAAACTTTCAAGGTGCCCGCTGGATTTTGAGCTGCTCTATAAATCTAGGCTGTCTCACACATATGGTTAGAAGCATGCCTATGCTGTGTGGTTAACATAACTTGTTAAGATGACAATTTTGTGAAAAAAAAAAAATTATATTTCTTCATTTTCCAAAAAATTGTGACAAAAAATTACAACTTCAACAAGCTTACCATGCCTCGTACTAAATACATTGGACTGTATACTTTACAGAAAGGGGCCACTTGAAGGTATTTGTACTGTCCTGGCATTTTAGGACCTCAAGAAATCAGATGAGGCAGTCAGTACATCAGGATTGATCAGTTTAATCAGTTGATCAGTTTTCATACATGCATACACACACACACGGCAGATAAAATAAGTATTGAACACGACACCATTTTTCTCAGTAAACATATCTCTAAATGTGCTACTGAAATGAAATTTTCACCATATGTCGGTAACAACCCATGCAATTCATACATACAAAGAAACCAAAACAAATAAAGCTCAGAAATTAAGATATGTGTAAAAAAAATGGAATGACACAGGGAAAAAGTTATGAACATGCTAACTGAAATGCTTAATACTTTGTACAAAATACTTTGTTGGTACTGAAAGCTTCAAGACGTTAGCTGTATGGAGAAACTAGTTGCAAGAATTGCTCAGGTGTGACAATCAAGACTCTTCAGACCAGGCAACTTTTTTCCAACCTTGACCAAATTGAAAAGTCTGAGACATTGTCCACTGATGCCAGAGCACTTTTTGTTCCTGCTGTCCACAATCTAATCCCCCCTAAGGTCGGGGGGGGGGGGGTGCTGGATTACAGTAACCTAGCCCTGTATTTTAAACATTGGAAACCCCTGTGGTAGAACATTAAAAATTAACATCACAACTAATTATAGTCCATACGGGGGACACATCCTAAGCACCTAGGCATTCAGACTGCTTCTAAAAACATTTGTGAAAGAATGGATCGCTCTCAGGAGCTCAGTGAATTCTAGCGTGGTACCGTGATAGGTTGCTACCTGTGCAGTAAGTCCATCCATGACATTTCCTTGCTATTAAATATTCCACAGTCAACTGTTAGTGGTATAACATAGTGGAAGCAAATGTGAACATTCAGCAACTCAGCCACGAAGTGGTAGGCCACGTACAATGACAGAGCAGGGTCAGCGCATGCTGAAGCACACAGTGTGCAGAAGTCGCCAACTGTCTGCAGAGTCAATAGCTAAAGATGTCCAAACTTTATGTGGCCTTCAGATTAGTACAATAGTGTATAGAGAGCTTCATGGAATGGGTTTCCATGGCTGAGCAGCTGCATCCAAGCCTTACATCACCAAGTGCAATGCAAAGCTCTGAATGCACTGGTGTAAAGCACGCTGCCACTGGACTCTAGAGCAGTGGAGGTGTGTTCTCTGGAGTGACAAATCATGCTTCTCTGTCTGGCAATCTGATGGATGTGTCTGGGTTTGGTGGTTGCCAGAACAGTACTTGCCTGACTGCCAATTTGGGGATGGCCCCTTCCTGTTCCAACATGACTGCGCACCAGTGCACAAGAAAGGTCCATAAAGACATGGATGAGCGAGTTTGGGGTGGAGAAACTTGACTGGCCTGCACAGAATCCTGACCTCAACCCGATAGAACACCTGTGGGATGGATTAGAGTGGAGACTGCGAGCCAGGCCTTCTCATCCAACATCAGTGCCTGACCTCACAATTGCGCTTCTGGAAGAATGGTCAAACATTCCTATAGACACACTCCTAAACCTTGTGGACAGCCTTCCCAGAATAGTTGAAGCTGTTATAGCTGCAAAGGGTGGGCCAACTCAATATTAAACCCTACAGACTAAGACTGGGATGCCATTTAAGTTCATGTGCGTGTAAAGGCAGGCTTTGGCATTAGATCCTAAAACACATTTATAAGAGACATTAAGCCCTTGAACACCCAGGAAAATCACTTTGAGCATGGTTCACCTAATGGTGTCAGCAAGGGTATGGAGAGGAGAAAGAAAAAAAGGTGGGGGGGGCAGAAAAGATTAAGTAACAGAAAGAAAAAGGGATAAAAGGGACACCCAAGGAGAAGGAACATTTAGGGTTTCCTGACTGTCAAAAAACGCTAGGGGGAGGCAGTATGTAAAGAAAAAAGCTGGGAGGCCACTTCTGTACCAGACTTGAAAACATGACACAAAAAGAGTGACAGAAGCACAACCTGACTAAGAACAGGAGGTGAAGTTAGATCAAACATCAGTATAATGCTATTGAAGTCATAGTGGAAGGGCTCTCAAAACCATAAAGGGCATACAACACATAGTGGAAGGGTTCTCAAATAAGGGGCTCATAAGTACAGACATGCACTATAAATGGTGATAATCAAATATTAAACAGGGAGAAGCAGGAGTGATTCCCTATGTACAATACCAGAAAGAATTTTAACATAACAAAACAGCATTTTAAATGAAAATGTTAAAGTAAAAAACCATCGGAAACAAAACACAGTGGAAGTTAAGTATGCATAAGAGAGAACTACTTTCAATGATGTCAATGCTGTATGGGATACAATGTGTAATATACATAATGATAGAGGATTTCAGGATAGGAAACACAAAACGATCAAGCTCAGGCATGAAGAAAGTGTAATATTTTACAAAGCTCATGGGGAAACATAAGACAATAATATGTAAACTCAGTAGTTGAGAATCGTCTATACGGGTGATCAATATGGCTCGAGAAGGAGAACAGTAACACAATATAAAAGGGGATGGACAATGTTGAAAACATGTCAAATGCCTTGTAAATGTAGCATACAACTTAAATACACAATATAGTAAGTTAATAGTAAGTAAAGCATTGGGGAACATCATTGAGATATGTCCAATAACAAAAGGGTGTCCAGGATGGATCAGATCTGTTTTAGCAGATGAACTAGCACACTTTCTAGAGACAAGTGCAAAAGTATGACAAGTTGACAAGTGTCACTGTTTATGAGATGTACTGTAAATGGATGTAAAAATATTCATCCAACAGCATCTGTCCACATGCTGAGCAGAAGACGAGCCCGAGCCCGGACTGGGTGATAGGCTCTGGGTCATAGTGTGCATTGAGGCTTTGCAGTTGGCGGCTGCCTAGCTGGAGATCTCAGGATGACGGATGAGGCTTCTTCCTCAGAAAGCACGCTGAACTTACACAGAGATGCTTTAATCTCTTCTGGATTGGAAACTGTAGTGCGACTGTCGTAAGAAAAAATAAGTTTAAAAGAGGACCCCCATCTGTACTTGAGCTATTTGTCCCGTAAGATCTGAAGAAAAGGCTTTAGCTCTCGTCTTTTCAGAATGGTAGAGGGAGACAAGTCAGTGAACAGTTAGTAGGAGATGACCCTGGAAAGTGAGTGAGTTAGAATCTCTTGCCCTCCCTGCAGAAGTTGCTCTTTGGTTCTATAGAAATGTAACTTGATAAATATGTCCCATAGGGGACAGTCCGGTAACTGTCTAGTTAGGGAGCGGTGTATGCATTCAAACATGAGGTGTTCGATTGACAGTTCAGTGGCAACGTCTTGAAACAAAGCAGTAAGAGTAGATTAAAGATCAAGTATGGATTCTAGGGTTCTAGGGGACCGAGCAGTTGGAGGTTAGAACTGTGGACCCTGTATTTTCAGCTTTAAGAGAGTTAATCTTCATCATGCCCCTCCAAGATAGTCGTGACATCATTTAAAGTGGAACTTTTTCAGAAGATTCACTAGCAGGTATCGCTATGTAAAACATTAAAAGATAAGTGCCTATACTGTTTAAAAATCTAGTAATGCACTTTCTCACCCTGCTCTGCACATGCTCAGTTGCTCCCCATTTTTTCGGCACTGTTCCAAAAATGTAGAGGTCGATCTGCGAACAGCCTAAAGAATTACTGCAGTTTGCTATAGGTGCGTTTGGCAAGCGTTGGTAAACAGTCAAGTGTGAACGAGCCTTAAGAGATTTTGAGTTAAAATAACTCATGCGGTATTTATTTCAAAAGTAGTCAATTCACTAAAAAATGCACGTTATTTGCCAAATGCATTAACAATGTGTGTGTTTTGCAATATTTAAGACTTAAATATAGCATTATTTTTGGTGTTGTTTTTTCACAATTGTTTTTACATGCTAACACTGCACCAGAGGAAGAAATCAAGACAATTTATGAAACTTTAAGGCCCCTTTCAGACAGGGCTGACTTGTCAGCGGATCCACTTGCTCAGCAAGCGATCTCTCCACTGATCCCCACTGAGCAAGTGGATGACAGGTCTATGTCTGCTCCGCTACTGCAGAGCGGACACAGACACAGCCCGCTGTTTTCTATGGGGCAGTCGGATGGAAATTGACCACCTGCCCATTTCCACCCGACTGTCATCCAATCTGATAAGCCAGAAAGATGGGGAACGTCTATTTTTAGCGTACAGGATTAGATCTATAGAGAGCCATGGATGAAAATTTTTTTGAAGACTTAATCAAGGGGCTTTATTTAGAAGCAATTCAAACTGTGTCAGTTTGAGGCAATTTCTTGGTTCCATATCTGAGAAGATAGATTTTGGCAGGGGAGTTGACCTGCTTGACATCTTGGCCAGGAGGGGAGTTAGGTTGGGAAGAGTTGCCAGAGGAACTCATAGTGGAGGTGGATGGCACCATCTTGGGTGTCTGTATGTGGCTCTGGGCGGCAGGGGGGTGGCTGTGTAATTTGGCTTTTGGGGGGGGGGGGGGGGGGGACTGGAGTATGCCTCCGGTGCTGATTGGTGAGGCAGGTTCCCTCCATGTTAGCTGGAGGAGAACTGAGAACTGTATCAACAGGTATGGGCTTGAAAATCCTCCTGGCGGTGTACAGAAGGAATATAATCGGTTCATCCAACTCATAGCACGCATGAGCCCCCCCACAATGGTCAGATTTTATTAATTATTTAAAATCTTTATCCCAAAAGGAAAAACAAACTGTTGCTGTAACTGCTTATTAAAGTGGAACTACACTGCATCTGAGCACCACAAACCAAAAACACTAATAAATTCGTTAGTAATATTCAAAGAAAACTCACCCATCCATGTCTCCATGCTTTATTTTGCTGGGAAATCGCCTTGAAAAACACCTCCTAGCATTTCTGGCAGTGGCCATCTTCAGTAAGGGCAAACTATTTGTGTAGAATTTACTTCCTGGAATCCTTCTGCCCTTAGCTCAGGCATGCAGGCAAGAGGGTGTGCTTAGCTGAGAATACCCCTCCACCCCCCCCCCCCCCCCCCGAAGACTCCTGGGATCTATGACCTTATTTGCCTAAGCATGGAATCCAGGAAGTAACAAAAGAAAATGTAAAAAAAAACGTTTAAAACAAGTAAATATGATAAAATATACTGTCGTATCTATTTACTAATGATAGCAGCATAACGAGAAAAATAGTCAGTGTTGACTGAGAGAGTGACGTAAGTGTTAGCTGGAGTTCACCTTTATTTGTTAGTCAAGTCCATTTAAATATGCCAGTGCATCTAATACTACACTCCCCCCTAGGCTGCCAATGCTCCAGTCCCAATGTGTCTCTGCTGCTTCTTCATCCAGAGTGGAGACAATCTAAGACAGGAAGGTTCCTGACAGGTTAACCAGAAAAAAAAATAAGTGGTAAACAATAAAAAAAGAAGCCTTCTCATTTAAGGATTGTAAGCTGCAATATCTTATTTTTTTGCTTTGGGGTTTAAAGAGATCTTAAACCCAAAACCAAAAATGTAATATATTGCAGCTTACCAATCATTAGAAGTGGTGACTACATTAGTTTTCTTTGGCTTATTCCTCTCTCTTTTCACCTGGTTATCTGGCCAGTAACACACCTTCGGTATTAGTGGAATGAGGTAGGAGGTACAGCAAAACAGCACCATTGTCAGCATCAAGGGGTAGGGTAGTGTTAAGTGTACTAGCAAATTTATATACTGACAAAGCAAAACTTCAGCTCACATTTTATAATCAGTTACAGGAAACATTTTTTCCTTTTGGGATAATGGTTTTGCATGAATAAATAAAAGCTGATCATTTTAATAACCCCTGCCAGTGTTAAGTGGTTTGTCTCATCCGTGTAAACTGATACATTCTGTTAGAGAGCTGGAAAGATTGTGCTTTTGAAAAACAACAGACTTGCTGATGAAAATAGAAGAAAGAAAGCCTAGAAAAAGGAAACTGGTGCAGCCATCACATCTAAGAATTGGTAAGCTACAATATAAAA